CAGGAAACTGGTGTTGAGTAATTCCTTGGTTACTTTTCACCGAGCGAGTGGGGGCTTAGCGGAGACTCAAACCCCCTTCCCCTCTTCAGAATTAGGGTAGTAATTAAATGGCGACAACGCACTTGTTTCCTTGACTTGCACCATTAGATGACCTGTCTGCTCATTTATACACAGACACATTTTAATCTTCATTTCGTTTGTATGTATTTTGTTCTTAGATTGCTACGTTTGCTTTTACTTCGAGTTTATTATTGAGGTTAAGAAAAACTCCAAATATATATAATACCTAGTTTTCGTCTGTAACAACTCAATTTAAACTGACCTGACTTTATCACCAAGCTAAAACACATTTTTTTCAAGACTTCTCAATAACAGAGTGTTTTGTTTTCAATGTTGTACGTACATAACTTTTTTATTCTACCATTAGTTAATACTATTTGATTGTTTTGAAAGGTGAGTCGTTGGAACTCTTACAGAATCCCGAGAGACATTAGCTGTGTTTATTTTTTTGTAATAATTAGTTTTTTGGCAGAGCAACTCCGGAGGAAGCATTTGACCGACACATATCTCAACAACTTCATTGAACTGTCTACCTTTTGTTTACTATTTTTTTATCCGACGTAATATTGGAGCATAATTTCATTTACTGAGCATATTTCCAATTTCCATGCTTGTGATACCGTCTGCATCTGAGATTAAACAACATATATCATGAAAGATGAGAATTCTTTTTTATATTTTTACGTCCACATCACAACTAACGTAAGCATGATTATGCAAGGAGAGACTGTTAGATATAAAGTGTTCGCCCATTCACCAGGCGTAGGCGAGGTGACGTATATGTGTATAAAATCAGGTAAAAAAAGTTGATTGTAGAATAGATATTTATATAAATCAAAATGCACCTTTGTATGTTATTATGTAGAACACTGATTGACTGAAAAAAACTCAGCTGTGTTGGAGTTTGTCTTACAGTATAGCTAGCTAGATGGTAAGTGACTACATCTGCACATGGATATTGCTTTTGAGTGCTCCTACACTCTCTGGATATTGGGATCTGGAGAGTGGATATTGGGCCTCCGATAATAATAAACCTTTTTTATATTAGCTTCACTTGTATGTTTGTAACCGACTCCTTTGGGCGTGATTTTGATTGACTTTAAACGGTCAGACTATTCGTTCAAACTTTGTAGATATATCGAGGACCGATAACAACACACTAATTTAAAAAAAAAAAAAAATTATAGTTTTAAAAAACTAAAAAACACGCTTTCTATAGAAAACCAAACTAAAAAATAGAAACCAAATTTGTTGTCAAATTTGTTGTCAAATTTATTTTCTATTTTTTAAACCTAATGGTTTTAGTAGTAAGTTAGCTTAAATTAGGTTAGTAATAGAGGCATGTGTTTAAAAAGGTATTTATAAATTAACAGGAATCCCGGTTTGGGTAAAGGCCTCCTCCAAAGATGCATATTTTTGTGGGTCTTGTGCTATGGAGCGCCAGTTTATGGGACCTACTCTTTTCAGGTCATCTTCCCAGCGGGCTAAGGATCTCCCTTTCCCCCTCTTGCCTGTTATTATTAAATTATTATTATTGGGTCTCCGATACTGCAGTGTCATTTCCCTACCTTACCCTACTCTTTCAATCTATCTCATTTCTTCATTCCAATTTAACTTCTTCGATTGTCTTATCTGAATATAATTACCTACATTTTAAGAAGATAATAGAAACCAGTCAAATTCCTGGATAAAATTTGGATGATGAAGTTAATTTAACTGTCCAGTTCCTGATTCAGTTACAAACAAACTTAGACATACATATTTTATACAAATTCCAATCATAAATAAAACATCCAGCTAAATATATATATAGTAAAAAATATTTAGGAAGATTCAAAATGTTGTCTTGAGTAAGAATCTAATCCGTGACTCTTGCTGTTGCCTGCTCGACTGTCGGCCATCTGTTCGTCATAATAATTATCACACCGTTGACGTCATGCCAAAATTTTCGATGTCGTAATAAACTTCGATGAACGTAACAAACGTGACTTGATTTAAATAATTATGATTAAACGTCACATGTATGTGTGACAACAAATTCATAGTCTAAAATAGTTTCTGTTGAACCGACTTCAATAATACGGAGGTTCTCCTTTATGCCCGTGCTTACAAAGTACCAATGACCAACTCTGATGAAACTTTTATCATGTAGCTTTAAACAACACTAAACTTAACCAATCCAATAAAAAAAGGTTTATCAAAATTGGTTCGCACATTAAAGAACTAAAAAAAACAAATAGACGCCACGAAATCTTCGTGGTACAGTTTCATGTTTGTAACTCATGCTGATGATGTATTTTGAAAACACTTAAAAAAACATAGCGAGGCTATTGACTACAATACACACAAACAAGCAATTGAATTGTTAATCCCTTTTTTAAGCTAGTAACGAATTAATAAAATTATTCAAATAGGTGCACGCTCCGCCTGATGACATAATTAATTAAATCACGATTATTGCAAAAGTTAAAAAAAACAATTATATACTTCCAGAACAACATTCGGAGAGAACAAAGAATATACCTATTCCCAAAAGGGTAATGCAGAATTTTGAAGCCAGGGTCACTGTTACAGTTTCCGAAATTTTGGAAGACGAGGAAACTGGTCCTCATCCGAAAGGAGGGGTGCCCGGCGGACTCACGTCCGCATACCGGCCCATAGTGTTGCTTGACGAGGTGTGCAAGCTCTTCGAAAGAGTGATTGCAAGGCGCCTCGTCAAGCATCTCGTCATGATGAGGCCGGATCTGACAATCAGTACGGTTTCAGTCAGGGGCGCTCCACCGTGGATGCAATCATGCGCGTGAGGACTCTGGCGGAGGAAGCAGTTTAACGGGGGTGAAGTGGTGTTGGCGGTGTCCTTGGACATCGGACTCCCAGCTCCTTGCCAGGCGTCAGAGCGTGGGCTTGGGGTTTTTTATAGAGGTTTACGGTCTCGCGGGTCCGAAGAGCCACCGGTCTTGTCCGTTCTGGATTACGGCTGGGCCGGACGGGGTCTGCACCAGACCCATGTTTTTTATAGAGGTTGTCTTCCTCGTAGCCCTCGAAGAGCCGTCGTTCCTGACTGTTGCTAGTCAGGCTTACGACTCGGCCGGACGGTGGTCTGCATCAGACCAGTGTCCACCACCTCTGGACAAAGCAAGCGGTGGAGAACCCGTCCGCCCCATTGCTTGCTCTCCACTACGACCTCCGCTAAACAGAGGGACACGCGGAAAGCCTCCGCGGAATCGGTCGTAGGTGGCAGCGGTTCCAACACCCAGGGAGAGGCCGCTGCCGTATTCGTTGCCCAGGGTGCATCACGAGGAGGTTCCCGACCCCGCACCCCACCCTTGGACACCTGAAATGCAAGTTAAGACATTAAGGCAAGGCACAAGTGTTCTACCGCTATTTAATAGTTTTCCGTGAGACCGTGGTATATCACTCCGGTCGAGTCGGCCCATTTATGCCGCAGAATAGCTCTCCTACAATTGAATGATAAAATTATAACTTGTTTAAAACTGGTAGTAATAAACATCAGCTCACTACATTACACGTGACTCCACAAGCCCTAAACTGGTTTTATAATAAACAATTTAGTATCTAACTACAATGAAATTAAAATAACATTAAGTAGATATAACCAACAAGACTTCGGAATTCATATTGCAGTAATGTAATCTACGAGTATAATAATATTATAAAGGTGCACAGTTTGTTTGTTTGTTTGAACGAGCTAATCTCGGTAACTACTGATTCCAATTAAAGAAACCTTTTAGTGTTGTAAAGTCGATTTATCGAGAAAGGATATATAACGTCACACGTACGCCAGTACGAAGCGCGCGTCGATGAAAAGTCTTGCGAAAGCGTGCAATATTTATTCCTTTTGGGAGACGCAGACGAAGTTGCGTATTTCAACAATTTATGGATCACACTAAGTGCCGTCCCATGCGGGGATCGGACCCACAACACTCAGCATTTCCTTAGTTAAATCTAGAATATTACAATACATCATCAACATCAACAGCCTATACTAGTCCACTGCTGGACATAGGCCTCTCCTTAGAAAGGAGGTTTTTGGCCTACTATACCACGCTGGCCAGACGGGTTGGTATAGGGTTTGTTTCTGGTTTTCCTTCTCTTTGCAGTGCTGTTGTCCTGCTTAGTTTGCTGCCTTAGTCGGCTCTTACGACACCCACGGGATGAATTGGGGTGGTGACAATTTGTATTCTTAATCCGTCACCACACGGACATTACAATACGAGTACGACTATTCATTAAACACCTCGACGGAACTGTCCTATATGTGTAACATTAGCGTTTTTAATGATTTACCGTTATTTTATATATTTAATACGGTAGTTGATGCTGTACAAACAACTTGAGAACAATTGCTTATACAAAATTGGGTTAAAAATGATAAGCCACACCTTCCACAGTAATGTGCAAAGAATAAACATGTAGTCTTACATTTATAAGTAAACATATAAAGCTGGTGTGTATAAGTATTAAATATAAACGTTTATCTGTTCAATAATCCTAATTTACAATTTAAATTCATACAGAATGTCGTTATAATACCTACTTCTTACTATATTTTAGCAGTGCTTTAGCACGGCGTGAAGATAGAACAGCAATACCGATTTGTTCGTAGGTTATTCGATAGTATAAAAATACATTTGGTGTAAACTAATGCGGTGTGCGTGTGCGTTTCGTGAATCTTATCAGTATTTCTTGTTCCGATGTCTAACACACATCTTGAGGCTTGTCTTAAATCATTTTTAAGGTTGTTTGGTGAGACACTGTTTTTACGTTAACCTTGTTCCAATACGTGACATGTAGTGATTAGTACTGTTTATTTTTTCATTATTTTTATCAGAAACTGTGATTGCCATTTTATTTAAAATGATCAGCGTTTTCTAAAGGTGCGCTTGTGAATAAATTGTGTGAATTTTTTGTTTTATAAAATGGGTACCGACTTGGAAATATCTTCGAATAAAGAAAGCAGATTTTCACCGTTTCTAAAGCAGGTAATCTACGTTTATTTTAATTTTTAATCATATTTAATATATGTGACTTAAGTTTGAATTTACATAAAATTGGTTACATTTAATAATTATTTTGGTATTATGGTACATGCGAATGCAAAATATTGACAAAAAACTGAATGTTATAAAATAACAGAACACATATAGGTGTGATTATGTTGCTTTATGAATTAGTGACAGTTAAGTACTAAAACTTAAAGAAAACCACTAAAAACTTTAAAATAATTAATTTATATAAGTTAGATTATAAAATATCTACATGTCGCATCTAGACCAATTAACATCGAAGGGTCGACACTCGATGTGGCTCCAGAATAGGTAAATGGCCCAGTTATCCAGCAGAGAGAACATAGTCATAAGATATATACAGTTAAGTTGAACAGTTTACATTAAGTTTTCTCGCGGTTTTTTCTTACAATTCCTCAAAAGGAAGTGGTTTGGCCAATGTACATTAGGTATCATGACATATACTTACTGCCGAGACGTGATCACTAGCATTACCTAATGGGCTACGAGTATGGAGCGAGCTTGGAGTTCTTTTGAAGAAGATTTGTAGTGTAGTCATACGACAAGGAACTTTGTATAAACGGTACGGTACTCTAGTTTTTTTTTCGGCTGACTACATTACGAATCTTCCAAGAAACACCAAGCATATGTACCTGTATACATATGCTAGGAGTTTCTTTAAAGATTCATCCTAAAGTGGAGACCTCGAATCGGTAAGCGGAAGGTAGGATCAACGCCTAGATGGATAGCAGACAGCTTCTCATCTTCAGCCTATCGCAGTCCACTGCTGGTCATAGGCCTCTCCCATTGTATGCCACTTCGAATGATTTTCGGCTTCTCGCATCCAACTCCTGCCAGCCATCTTGCACAAATCATCAGATACTGCCTCATTGTCATCGGTAGACTAGCTCTTTGCTTATGCATACCAACTCGTTTAACAGATTAACATTTCATATTAAAAAGACAATGCTTTATCTCTTGAGTGGTTTCTGGGCGATTTTTCCTAAAAGCTACTTCTAGTTTACCGTACCCCTGGCAACGTATCAGAAAAACCGGCATGGAAACGCATAAAATACGAAAAATTAATCTTCCTTCTTCGAGCCATTTTCTCAAACTAGATTGGGGTCAGCTTCAAGTCTAATACGATAGCCAAAGGTGCTCTCCGAGACACACAGGAGTCTCGATGTGTTAAGAATGGTCACCCATCCATATTCCATCCATGTGCTGACGGATTAAGAATACAGAGTGTCACTATCCCTATTTGTCCCGTGGGTCAAATGGGCTTGGCAAACCATGCAGGCCAACAGCACTGCAAAGAGAAGGAATACTTGAAACAAACTCTAAGCCAACCCGTTTGGCCAGCGTGGTGTAGTAGGCCAAAACCTCCTACACGTACATATATAGTTATATATGTACGTGTTTTTTTAAGTTTACACTTGCATTACCCATTCGCGGTATTCAGCTGTCAAAGGTAAAGGTCATTCCCCGTAGGTATCGCACAAAAGTAATAACTACATGTGTATTCCGTGCAAACAGTCTACGCACACTAACACAAATTGGCGGCCGTGTGGAGGCCCAGCGCGCTTTGGCTGTTTGATTAATTTAAAAAAACATTCCAGTTTTTGACCGTATGCAGTATTTATTAACTTGTTTTCGATGAAATGTTCTGTTTACTTGACTTAACAAAATGACCTTGACATTTGGGTCAAAGTATGGGTACACTACATAAATACGAAAAACTTTATTCCGTCTGTCACAAATACGAATCGTTCAAAGTTCCTAATATAATAACTCCGATTTACCATTCATCCTATTTTTATAATTCAAAAATTTCAATACTCTTAACATTTATAATTATTATGCTCAACATACCGAGTTTCAAAAGATCGAATATCAGAAAGCCCGATTTAATGATAATTCGAAACATCAAATATTCACCAACAACAGAGGGGGTCTGGCGTTTATCGCCGCTGTTTTAATCTAACCTAACCCAAACAATACCTGAAGCAGCGTTTATGTACAAAAATTAATAGCAAAGTAAACGTTTCTAAATTACACTAAGCGTTACTTATAGACTTTGAATATATTTGCGTAATTGAATGTTATACTAACTGAATCAAAATCCTAATTTTAACAGTTTATTCAAAGTATTGAAAATCGGAATGTCGTTTTTCGGACCGAGAACCCATCAAGCATTTGATTCTTCGATCGAAACAAATAAATCGATTTGACGCCTTTCGGTAAAATAATTTTTATGAATTTTAATAATATACATTATAATTCTTAGGTATTATGAAAATCGGAATAAAATATTTTTGAATATTTGGGTGTTCTCAAAATATATATTTTATTATTTATTTAAAAACATGTTTTAGGTACTGAAAAAAATCAATTTTAGTTTTTTAACCTATATGTGAATGTGACCCACTGCGCACACGACAGATTACAATGTCACCTCAACATTTGATCATGTTTGTGTCGTAATATTGGTATTTTAGACAAAATACGAGGATAATCGATTCTTTTTGGTTTATTCTTTTCTGTTGTCCGTAATGTATGGCAGCTGAATATTGTCTTTGTCTTATTACACCGGTTAAAGCTTGAGCTGCTATACCGTGCCGATTAAGAATACAGAGTCTCACCACCCCTAATTATGACGTGGGTGTCGTAAGAGCCGACTAAAGGAATAAACTACGCAGGACAATAGAACTGCAAAGAGAAGGAAAACTTGAAACAAACCCTATACCAAGCCACCGTCTACCGTCTAGCCAGCGTGGTATAGTAGGCCAAAACCTTCTGTCTAAGGAGAGGCCTATGTCCAGCAGTGGACTTGTAAAGGCTGTTGATGATGATGAAAGCTTGCCGACATTCTTCGATTGAAGGATTCACATTGTATTAATCGATCACTTAAATTTATACCTAGAGCTTCTCTTTAATCAGTATTCAATCATTTTGTTATCCGTCATTCAAATTCTTTATTTACTTATGTGTACAACTAAATTCGTCTCACACAAAACGCGTCAATACAACAATGATTACCTCTGGTCTGACCAGATCGGTCTCTAATCAGCGTTTGACGATATAAACAGCTAAACATACGACTAATACATGAAATAGTTACAATACCGATAATTAGAGGCTTTGATATCGTTATATCTTTAGGATTTATCATAACTGTAGGCAGTGTTTTGAAGTGAATACATTAGTTCAAGAAAGTTTCCTACATCGTTACGACAATTCCTTCCTCCATTACTAATATTTTCCATTAAAACCTTTATATTATGTAAATCCTACATGAATCGTATGGAAAAATATGGGCTTTCAAATGATATGGTCAGTTTTAGCCGGTTGGATCTCTATTTATACGCGATTCATGTCAGTGACACATGTCTAGTCTTAATGTAATAAATAACCTGAACTTGCTTCGGTGGATCATTACAAATTAATCAACTACTATACTAAAGGTATGCTGAATGCGTATGATCCGAGAACTGAAATTAAAACAGATTGCATCTTTTCATATCGCTTGAAGTGTGGATCTGGATCTTTCTTGTTTTTTAAGCAAAAGAATTGAGTTTCGGAGATTGTAAAGAAATCCCATTAAACAAATTCTTTTAATATGTAATCTCATTTAACATCAACGGTAAACGAAGTGATGTTAGATGGGCTATGTATACTTCTATTGCACCTACCTTTGAATTGCCTGACATTTCAAACAGGTAATACCGGTCGTGGTCGCATAACTGCATTGCACGTTCATCTCGGTTTCCATTGCGTTAACACTGGTTAAAACAATTGTAGGACGGAGAAACAGAAAATATGGACATTTATTATGTAATCATTGCATCATGAAATATAAACTATCAATTTCATTACAAACCAGAAGAGGCCAAATTTACAAAATTAATTTCTTGTACTCAATTTAGAAGTATTTTATCTGAATCACGTGTACGACACATTTACCTATATCTAAACATTAGGTATAGACATTTGCATGTGCTGTCAGAATAAGTAGATATATCATCATCAAAACTATATCTTTAGAAGTATCGAATGATTGATAAGTTTCTGTTCAAAATACTTATATTCTAATTTATATACTTATACTCTAATTTGCCCAACTAATTCTTAAATGGCACCGTAGACTTTATACGTGATTCAATCCGTGTAGTGACGGATTAAAAATACGGAGTGTCACCACCCCTATTCATACCGTAGGTATCGTAAGAGTAACCTTTAGGGGACCTTTAGGATACACCTGGTTCCCCGCTACTAGTACCCGAGAGGGCGTGCTGTTTTTGGCCAGGCCATCCTACTAGTGGGTGGTATCCGAGGGGATTTCCGCACGAAAAAAAATTTGTCGCAAGAGTCGACTAAGGGAGCAAACTCAGGACAAAAGCACTGCAAACAGAAGGAAAACTTGAAAGGTTTTTTTTACCAACCCGTCTGGCCAGAGTGGTAGGCCAAAAGCTGTTTTCTAAGGAGAGACCTATGTCCAGCAGTGGACCATTAAAGACTGATAATGATGATGAAACTTGATAAGTGATTACGATTAAAATAAGAGTTAAGAAAATGTGCGCCTTTAATACGATAAGAAAAATAATTAATTACCAATACATGTGTGTTGGTACTCGTAATTCGTGTCCTACTAAGGTTTGGCTTGACTGTTTCTCAATTGACCCACGTTTAAAGTTACATTTTTATTTTCAAATAAATATAATTTTTAGAATACATGCGTATTTAATTATTATCCAAACCAATGTAAGAACATTATTAGTATTATGATATTATTGATGCGACGTCACTTTTTTGACTTTTCTTGTTTAAAACAGTAATCGTGCATTAGAATAATTTTCAAATCCTGTAATTGTACTCTTCCAGTGTTTCGTGACAGCCGGTGTGGGGTGTAACATCATAGGCCATGGCTGCGTGCTTGGGTACCCAGCGATCCTGCTGCCACAGCTCGAAGGACCTGATGCTCAATTTAAACTTAGCACATCTGCGGCTTCCTGGATAGGTCAGTTATCAAACAACACAACACAATAGTATATTATTAAAATAGTCTTAGGCCCGTATTTTAAAAGAGGTCTCAAGTATCGGTTGAACTCTGATTGCCTGAAACTAGTTTTAAGTGCAGATCAAAACTTAAGTATCGATCTTATTATATACCGCGTTTCAAGTTTTTATATTAATATTTATTTGGAAACTTAACAGCTATGTTACATATATCATGGGTGAAGTTAAACATTTCAATGGACTCTTACCCAATAATAAATTTTCCCGACAAGTAAAAAATGCGTCCACCACTTAAACATAGGCAAATATAAATGTTATATACTATTTCTAATTCAGGTTTACTCAGTTTAAACAACTTTCAAGTATTGATTAGCACTTACAGTCTGTTCTCAATTACGTTTTCGCATGATCGACATTATTCTTCCGTAATACGCAGCTAATTATTAAAAAAAAAAATTACAATCTTAATTTCTGTGAATTTGTTATATAGTATACAATTTGCTAGTGTACCAATGTAAACATATTTACAATCTTGTTGTTCATCCAAAATTGAATATAGTAAATAATACAATAAAAATGACTATAAATAGGCTATAACGGAACGTTCAAGTTACTTATCAACACTTGTTATGTTGCAATGTCAAACAATATTTTTATTTTTATATTTCAACTAAATAAAGAAAATTATGACAATGTCTATCTGTATATCTATATATAGTTGCATAATTTAAAAATCTATGAAACACGATTAGTAAGAAAAACTTAAAAGACAACAAACGACAACTATAACGAAACTCAAATGAATGAATTTTTGTTTCAAACCCTACATGGCTTGACTTAAAAATAGCTTAATGAGGTTTTTTTATTAGCAACCAACTCACTTTCCCATTTATAAAGACAATAAATTTTGAATTATTAATAGTTAGTATTTTTTAATTTTCTTTTTTCAATATCTTGGTTTCTTTTAATTTCAGCGTCCATTATGGGAATAACTCAACTCTTAGGCAGCTTCCTCACGCCATCTATCATGGAACGATATGGAAGGAAAATATCCCACTTTGCTGTCATCATACCTAATTTGCTGAGTTGGTTCATCATTATGTTGGCTTTTAACTTTGAGGTAAAAACTGATCTGTTAAAATTATAATGCTTTCAATTTGTTCATTCGCGTACATCCTTATACAGATAATATCAGTGTTGATATTTTAAATATTTTTACAGATGCTTTTTGCTGCAAGAGTTCTCCAAGGCTTATCAATAGGTTTACTGTCCCCGCTTCGGTCCGTGCTCATCGGCGAGTATACCAGCCCTAAGAACCGCGGTGCATTTCTAACAACTGTTTCATTAACACAGTCTTTTGGCATATTCTTCGTTCATCTCATAGGATCTCTACTCAGTTGGCAAACGACAGCTTTGATCTGCGTGATCTTTCCTTTCATTAGTTTTATTATGACTATCTATTCACCAGAATCTCCCAGCTGGCTTGTCACCAAGGGAAGACACGATGACTGCAGAAAAGTTTTTCATTGGCTTAGAGGACATGAAGAAGATAAGGAACTCGATGAAATGATAGAAGCGAGAATAATGTTTGAAAAAGCAAAAATTGCAGAAAAAGCCGAACGCAAGACTAATGGTTTGCAAAATCTGGTGGTAATCATTCGAAAACCAGAATTTTATAAACCTATAATACTGATGATGCATGCTCATGTTTTGGTAAACTTCTCTGGTGGAACTACTATGACAGCATATTCCACTGTTATCCTTGAATCGGTAATGGGACCAGATGCTAATAAATACTTCTGGATGATCTTCCTAGACGGACAGAGGCTAGTGTTCAATGCTGCAGCAGTTTTTGCCATAAACAGATTTAAAAGGCGAACTATGATGTTTGCTACTGGAGCCATCTCGATACTCTCTCAATTCTCTCTCGCTGGCTACTTATACTTTAAGGGACAAGGCAGTCTGGCGTATGACGCATTCTGGATACCCGTATTACTAATAAATATGAAAATTTTTGCCGTCGCTGTAGGTATGTTACCACTTCCTAATGTTATCGGAGGTGAAGTTTTTCCTCTAGAATATCGAAGCATCGGCGGAACTATCAGTTTGGCGTCATTCTCCGGAACCTTCTTTATAGTTTTGAAAACGTTTAGCAGTTTATTGAACAGCGTCGGAATGTACGGATTGTACCTGGTATACGGTAGTGTACTAACATATTGTATGATTGTGATCTGGTGGCTGCTACCAGAGACAAAAGGTAAAACATTACAACAGATCGAAGATGAGTTCAAAGGTCGACCAATGTCTTCTGAAGAGAAGGAGGAACTGAAGTCACTACAAGAAGACCCCGTTAAACAGTACATGAGAAGAATGTCAGAATGGAGTGTTCAGTCTATTCATGTGTAAATCTTAGATCAGGTGATCTGCTCTTTTAAAGAAAGTTTGGCTTTGATCCAAATCTCAGTATTACAAATAAATACTGATAAATTATTTTCTTAGAAGCCGGAAATATCTCAAGGTGTAATAATATCGTGACTATCGTGAATGATAAAATGATTTATTACGTCAGAGTAGTGCTTGTTTTCCAGTAAATTGTAACGGCCAAATCTGTTAAAAAGAAACGTTTTGTTGCTGTGCGTATTTATTTTAAAAGTTTTGTGTCAGATGTTTAACAGAGAAAACTAGCCCGATTTGACTAAAATTACAATGTATAATATATATCTAAAATGAATTCTTTGTGTTTACGGTATTTATTATTATATGAAGTAGAAGAACCAGACGATACAGTAGTGATAACCATACACGGGCCTGTTGGTCTAGTGGTTAGTGACCCTGACTGCTAAACCTGCGGTTGTGGGTTCGATTCCCACCCAGGACAAATATTGTGTGATGAGCACGGTCATTTGTTCTGTGTCTGAGTGTAATTAATGTATAATATGTATGTTTTTAGAAATATATAAGTATGTTTATCAGCAGTCTGGTTACCATAGTACAGGCTCTGCATAGTTTGGGATCAGACAGCCGTGTGTGAGTGTGTGTGATATATTATATTATTATTTTATTATATTATTAGTTTTAGAGCAAGATGCTGTGTATTTTGTAAATGTTATTTTAAAATAATATTTTATGTTACGTATTTATTTTGTTGTTCGTGGTGTCTACTGAGTAATCCTCAAACCAGTCGAAACAGGTAACTAAGGATTAGGTGAAATATTTCATAGGTAAAAAAAAACCGTTTTTGCTGTCTTATTCAATCAGTTTAGGCTAAGAATGTTTAAGGCATAAGTTAAACGTCCATGGTGCCTTTGAATCATCCAATTCAGTTGTATGAAAAATGTAGAAATACTGCGCCTCGCATCAACAGCCACTAATAGTCCACTGTTGGACATAGGCCTCTAGGATTTGTTTCAAGTTTTCCTTCTCTTTGCAGTGCTGTTGTCCTGCGTAGTTTGCTCCCTTAGTAGGCTCTTACGACACCCACGGGATGAGTAGGGGTTGTTAAAACTCTACGTTTTCTATATACATCATAGTGTTATGTATTTAAAATATCCACCAGTGATGAGTAGATTTTTGTTCAACTTGTGATTTGTAAATATTTGTTTTAAGTATTAAATATAATTTAGTATCTATGTGAATATTACAGAATACGTTTCTCTATAGAACGTAATTAAAAATACATGTTTGTGTATTTAAAATGTGTATAATCTCTGTTTTTTTAATTTATAATTTTATGTTATAATACAATGTGATACACTTCGTCGAATAAAAAATATACTGTTAATCAAATAGGTACCTAATGTTGGTTTTAATATTGAAAATGTTTGTTCTCACCTTTCTTGTCCCTAAAACAAATAAAGGGGGTCTAATGTTCTACAGCGGGGAAGATCATTTGCTGAGGAGATGATGATACAGATACTATCTCTCTCTGTATAGAGAGAGATAGTATTCCCTCATGTAATCATGCCTGGTGGACCGCGGGCCAACGAGAGTTGAAAAGTTGTAAAATACTAATCGTAGCGAGAACTCTCGTTGCAGGATTAGTAATAACTCCCTAATGTAGTGTGTCTTTCATATTCATCTTGTATGTAAATATTGAAATATGTTTTTCCTTGTATGTGGAAGCCTGTGGAAGTGACTACTAATAAACTATCCAAATAAACGTGTTAGTTAGTACCTTATAATTTTTTTGTGTAGAAACACATATATGATGTTTTACACGCACATATGAGCTCAACTCGTCCACTAGCTCACTTGGTAGATATATGGCTTGGTTCTTTGATTTCGTATCAATTTATCGTAATCCAGTGTTCTTAATGCCATGTCTTGATAAAAAGTTTGTACCACTTTGCAAGGAGTAAAATATTATTGGCTCTGGATAAAGTGAGATATTACAATGTATAGTATTCGTTTACTTATCAAGGGCCTTCTACATGAACTAAAATATCACTTAGATTCAAGCTTACGTAAATTCTATAGTTGCAGGAAATAAACGTAAGCGGTGGTGCAGTGGTAGCGTATGTGACTGCTTTGCTTGGGTCTCGGGTTTGATCGCCGGTTTGGACCAAATGTTGGTATGATCTTGAAATATTTGGGTCAGAATTTGATTGTGTATTTACAAAACAAAAGGTATAAAAGTATTCTATCGGTCAATCTAGTTTTTATAGAACAAGCCCCGGTGAACACTTAACCTCCATATGACGTCAAAGATAGGTCATAGACAGGTCAGACATTATTTACATTTATATGGCTTTATGATTACTTTCATATGATGTCATACAGTATGTCATCATTATGACATAGTACTGACCTAAAATTGACTTTAAATGACGTCATAATTATAATAAAAATAATAATTTTGTTATTCTTAAACGAATTAAAAGTACAATTTTATATTTGAGTGTTTGATAAATAAAACTTTAATTATAATTACTGATGAGTAGGCTATAATTCTTAAATAATCAAACCGAATAACTAAGTGGTTATGACAACTACCTCTTACCTCGATAGATGGCGTGCTACTATTTCTTGATAAATGTGTACAAGCAGGTTATTGTACGTAAGTTTTATCTTTTGTAATTTGCATTACCGTCACTAGATGGCGCTATTTAATTTGTGTACACGTCTACATCGCGGTATAAATATTTTCTGACTGTTTATTATAACCCTGATACTGTGTTACTTTAAATATACTCGGTTAACACCGTAAATAGAATTTGGTTGTTTTACTACTAGTAAACCCTTACTCTGTTTGCGCTTGAACCCCTGAACAAAGGATTTGTTCATGGTCTTCGAGCCGGATTAGACTTTTAGTCAGTTCGAAGGGCGCCTTTGGTGGGGCGTATATTTTTGTTCGGGGTTCCCCACGGGCAGTGGATTGCTGTCGCAAACGTGGGAGGTTGCAGACCTTCGAAGAGGTCTGAGGTGGACAAAGGGTGGCGTACCCCTGTCCAGGAAGTTGCAGGCCGTCAGGTCTGAGGAGGAAGCGGGTTAAAAAGGAACACGGTTCTATAAATGAGCGGAATCTATATGGTGTATCAGCAGCAGTTGGATTGGAGGCACGTGGTAAGTGCTGTTGTTAGGAAGTGAAGCTGTGACACGGATCGCGGAGTTATTGCAGACGAAGAAGCGTGACATGTGACGACGTTTCGGTAACTTATATCTATCAAGTGTTCGTGAGAAAAACTGTGAGTACTTATTCGATTCTATTTTAAACCTTATAACTAAGAAGATTTTAACATAGTGCAGTGAGATATTGACTTTGGAGTTTAATCAAGAAATTTGGACATTTTGAACTTTATTTATAAGAAACATAATACTTTGATATTTGTGTTAATTTTAAAATATTTTTCATTTGATTAGCTAATTTGAACTTTATTTCTTTGCTACTTTTATCTTTAGTTTGTGCATGCTTTAGTTAAGACTTAGAATAATTTTATAAAAAACGAAGGTACGGGGAATCCATGCCGGATTTCACCCAGAATTTAAGTGAGTAAAAAGACTTATAAATATTTCGGATCTTTTCGGTCAAACATACAAAATCTTTTCATTTTATCAGTTGTAAAATACAACTTCAATATGTCTTCGGGGTCTGATTCGGGTGACGAATTTGATTCTTTGTTACTGTTTCAAGAGGATTTAGGTAAACGTATTAAAAAAGCATTGGTGAATTATAAAAAATCGTCTAAAGACAGACTCACCAAACAGTATGGTGAAGGCCGTTTAGCTAATCTTGAACAGTTGTGGTCTCAATTTATAGTCGGTCACGAACAATTGTTACATAAAGTACCCCGTAAACAATTAGTTGAGACTCCTTACATGAAGGATGATTTCTATGATGAAGTTGAAGAAAATTATTTAACTTGTCAAAGTATGATAAAAGAAATGTTGAATTCATTTGGTTCTGTTGATATTAACCAAAGTTATGGTGAAATTAGGAAATCTAGCCAGGTTAAGTTGCCGAAGATTAATATTCCTGTGTTTTCGGGCAAGTATTCTGAATGGAATACGTTTAGAGACTTGTTCAGTTCCTTAATACTTAATAGCAAAGAGTTAGATGGAGTCCAGAAATTGCACTATTTAAAGGGATATCTCACAGGTGAGGCTGAACAGTTATTGAGACATATTCCAGTAACAGAAGATAATTACGAAAGGTGTTGGAAGTTATTGGAACATATGTATAATAATAAAAAATATATTTGTAATTACATTTTAAAACGATTGTTCAGTCAAAGGAATTTACTAAATGAATCCTCAAATGGCTTGAAGGATCTAATAGATACCACAAATGATTGTTTGTCGGCATTAAAAAATATTGGTGTTGATGTTGATCGTTGGGATGTTATCATTATTCATGTACTTACTTTAAAACTAGACCCGGAGACAAGAAGACAATGGGAGTTTAGGGTTACTGACAATACTTCCTCTAATGAACTGCCCACATATTCTCAATTTAAAGATTTTCTAACAAATCGTTATCGTGCTATGGAGTTTTTGCCGCCGGATTATAGGCCCAAAACAAGTAAACCTTACATTCACTCCAACAATCAACATACTCACCCGGTCAAAACGTTTCACGCGATGACTGTACAATGTCCGTTTTGTACCGAAGAACATAAAATTGGTAACTGTAAAAATTTTATGAAAGAATCAATTGAAACTCGGCGCAAGTTTGTACAATCTAACAATATATGCTTTTGTTGTTTGGGCAGTAATCACTCTGCAAAGTTTTGCCACTATAACATGCGGTGTCGTATTTGTAAGGGCAAACATAATAGCCTATTGCATCCTACAGGTAATTTTGGTAAGAGTGCTGCTGAGATTAGTAGCGCAGGTAGTGACAAAGACAGTGCGAGAGAGGCTTGTTCTTCTTCTAATTCTCAATCGGTAGTTGCATGTGTTTCTACAGA